TACCATTTAATTAAGTACTACAAAATTCATTGTGTCTGCTTCTTCGCTGATGACAATGGAAAAAGATATGCATGCCTACTTAATATCATCATTCAATGCATTTTTTGTGATTGTACACTGTACATATTCGATGAAAGCATGCTAACCGCTTTTCAGTACTTTCAGTACTTTGATTCTTTTTGTTTCGATTTTTTTTACTTTTAAAAATGACACCTTTACATTAATTCGGTTATTCTCGAGGTGAACAGTGCATCCTTACAATTATATAATTACGATAAACCAGTATATCAATGATGCGATATATTCAATAGTAAATATCTGTCCCACCTGTTTGTTTGCGCGCCAACTAAACTCCCCTTCCTCAACGAAAGAGCGCATCAAGGGAGATAATCTCGAAACTTGCGTTCTGAGGTCACAGGTGTAAATCCTGATCAAGCGAAGTACTTAAAAGCACAGATAAATGACTTCGTGTATTATAACTTGCTAGAGAATAAAAAACGTTATTAGCTATAGATAATTGATAGATAGTTAGATTTAAGTTGTGGCGTTTTGATGAAAAATGTGATAGGAAATGTTTTAGGAAGTTTTTTTTACATGCCCGGGACATGGTCGGTGCGATGATTTGTCTCCATTCAGCACAAAACATATTTAGCGTCCATAGTCAAATTAATATCGTCAATTTCAAAATTTCTCCCAACCAAGCCGTGTATTTAAAGCACGATTTTATTCTGTAAATGATTTCTTTTAATGCGCTTTATGATTTCTAATTGCCGATTCACACGTAGCACGCTTCAATACCATGTGACCCGAGTTTTTAATCCGAGGACATTACATTACGGACGTGTTATGGCCTAAATACGACAGTTTTAAATATTATTTTATAACTAAACGAAAATTGTATGTTTCAAGATTATAATTTGATATGTATCTAATAAATGTATAATAATATATATAATATTATATTTAATTTTAAAGAAATTGAGATACGTGATAAAAGCCCTTTAAAAGCAATGCAAAGAGTGGGTGGACTCAACTGCCTATAAAAATAGTGTAAATTGAAGTTTCATAAAATGTTTATTTCTTTCCATCATATGTGTTCCCGATATCTTAACCGTGTATTCGTGGTAAAGATATGAATTTTAAACGCTCCTTTCGAGGCACCATGCCTTCGATACTTATTAAAGTTACCTCGAAAAGAGCGTTTAAAATTCAAGGAATATCAAAGATAATCAGAGTCACGCGTTTTTATCGTCTGAATACACAGTCAGTGCATGTTAGTCGGCTGTTCTACGAGGGCTGTTCAATAAATAATGTTCTGAACTGTATGACATACATGCGCGGATCTAGAGGGGGGGTCGGGGGGGGGGGGGTCCGGACCCCCCCCCCCCCCTGGAATTTACCAGATTCAAAAATGTATATACTATAACAAGAAAACAGTTACCATGGACCCCCCCCTGGAAAACTCAGACCCCCCCCCCTGGTAAGCATGTTTGAAGTGGGTAAGATAAGTGGAAGATTTGAAGCAATAGAAGTCACCCCCCCCCCCCATGAATTTGGTTTTTGACGTTTGTGCGATTTTACTTTTTTTTTTTTTGTTTAGAAATTTCTGGGATTGGAATTTTTTTTGACTGAGGTGGACCCCCCCTGGAAAAAATTTCTGGATCCGCGCCTGACATACCATACAGATATCATATGACGTTAAACTTAACTTTCTCTCATCAACAATTAAATCTTTAATGAATTTATAACAATTTACATGACCACTTTTCACATAGTTTTATCGTGAGAAACAAGGGCTATTCGAGACACTGCATTATAAATGAAAGGTAAAGAAGCATTAAACTAGAGTGAAAATAAAAGCTTCATTAAAGCTGCTGTAAAACTTGTTAAAAATCCCAACGAAATATTCACTGAAATATGTGACATTTACAGCAACCAATGCCTGTTTTATAGAAAAATGAGCAGGTAGATTTCTATGATAAAAAAATCATATATCGGGCATCAAAGATGGGTACCTAACTTGCCAACAATAATTATAACAACTTATGTATTGTTTGCCGAATTTCGACAAATAATATTTGATGATGTATGATTGACTTTAAGACACATAGCAAATTTGAAAGACATCATATCGGGAGTAGTTTACACTGTTTTTAAGAAACGTTTGACAGTAAAAAGTTCGGTACTCAGAGGTCAACCTATATTTTGATTGATTGATTGATTGTATACTGTTTTACGTCCCTCTCCAGAATATTTCACTGATATGGAGACGTCACCAATGCCGGTGAAGGGCTGCAAATTTAGGCCTATGCTCGGCACTCAGGGCCATTGAGCAGGGAGGGATCTTTATCGTGCCACACCTGCTGTGACACGAGGCCTCGGTTTATACGGTCTCATCCGAAGGACCGCCCCATTTAGACGCCTTTTACGACAAGCAAGGGGGTACTGAGGACCTACTCTAACCCGGATCCCCAAAGGGGCCAACCTATATTTTGAAAAATTGGTGAAAACGACAGCGTGTACGAGAGTCTTAACAATTATTTTAAAATGTCAGTAATTGTAGTAATCCATTTTTGTTTCATATTCAAACAGATATTGAAACATGAATCTGTTGCTAAAAACACTCACAACAAAATTTACCATAAGATGTACTTGATGAAAACGGCGAAGGTCAGACAACAGCAAAGGTTTGCAAGAGCACAAGGACAGAATTAAATACAATTTTCTTAAATATTAGTGGTATTGTTGTTCAAATTCGTATTCTGGGAAACAGTTAAATTTCTGGAGCAGTATTAAAAGCTTTTTTTGCAAAAAAAAAAAAAATTGAAAGGTTTATTTGAGGAAGGACCCAGAATTAGGAATCAACTACAATGAATTTCATCATGACAGCGTCCAAACCCGCATGCCCTGAAAAGTAAATGGGTTTTCGGGATAAACAGAAAGTAAATGTTTTTTCACATGAATAATATTTGCCAGATCTTTGACCTTTTGGCTTGTTTCTGTTTCCAAACTTGCTAAAACACTTTTCAGAAGGAAGAAACAAGTCCAGGAAATCATTGGATCTGCCATTTTCCAGTATACTAAGGGTCATACCCAAAAATGAGTTCTAGAAACAATCAGAAATTGGATAAAAAATGTTACGGACTTGTGTTTTAATTAAAAGAGATTAATAAGTAAAATCATGAAGACTAAATCATTGAAAAGTGTCTTTTTTTCTTTCTGAGTACCGAGTACATTATTTATTGAACAGCCCTCGTATATTAAACAATATAATACCATATTAAAAGGAGGAGAGCCGACTAAAGTGCGATCATACTTAACTTAACAAAAACATTCCCAAAACAAACTTCTCGCTTCCATTGTTTTGACTGCGTTAACCTTGTTTTGACTTCAACTGAACTGTTGCATAGTATACAATTTTTGCTATTTTTTTAAGGTCAATACAGTGATTTTTCCATCTGCATGAGGAGTACTCACGAGCCCGAACAGCTTGGTGAATATTGTACTTCAAAGATGTCTATATCATTGTATTGACCAAAAACCCAGCAATAATTGTTTATTATATAATTCACTCATAAAATGATACAGATCATTACTTGTTTGCATTTAATTAAGCCCTGGCCAAATACAAGATAGAAGCAGAGTGAAAATGTAAAACCAGTCGTATCAATGTGAATTTAAAAAAAATCCATTTTAGTTGCCATGGAAAAGATATAATGTCAGTCTTTTTATAGGAATGATTTTGAACGGGAGTATTTGTGGGAAAACTGACAGCCGAAAAAAAAAATGTAGCTTAGTAAAAGTGTTGGAGGGGAGTCCCTGCACCCCCACTAACCACACTCACCCGATAATATATTTTCTTCATATGAAAAAAGTCATTATTGTTAAAATAGCTTTCTGAAACAATTTGTATTTATTTGGAATTTCTCGATGTTTGTTTAAATCAATGAAGAGGAAACAAAGCCATGTATTCACCTAGAACGTCACATGCAGGTAAATATAACATATAGTATTTCTTCCACATAGTTGGCTCTCAGCCAATTGTACGTGATGTCTACCTGCGAGAGTACTCGTGGAATTAGTTACATTGTATTCTTCAACTTGACCTTGATCATCATGTATTTGAGCGAATTTGAATACCTTTTTCAGCATTTAGCAAATGAAAATTTGTTTAAATTTTGTGTGTCCTCACATTTTTTAAACTTTCCCATTGACATCGCTGTAAAATACATTGCATATATTTAAAACCGTTCACGGCAGCTCAGTCGGTTGAGCGCTCGCTTCGTGAACGGGAGGTCGTGAGTTCGAATCTCAGCCGCGACTGACCTAGTCGATAACATGGGTAGCAACTATTCCTTCGCCATGCACTCGGCACTTTGAAGTGAAAGTTGTGGGTCCTTCGGATGAGACCTTAAAAACCGAGGCCCTGTGTCAGCAGCAGGTGTTGGCACGATAAAGATCCCTCACTGCTCAATGGCCCTTAGTGCCGAGTTAAGGTCAAAATTTGAAGCCCTTCACCGGCATACGGTGACGTCTCTATATGAGTGAAAAGTTCTCGAGAGGGACGTTAAACAATATGAAATCAATCAATCATATATTTAAATTTTTTATGATTTGTTGCTTCAATTTGGATTTATGGCAACAAGACATTCCTTTTGTACAAATGTTCTGCCTTGTGTAATTATGTACATGTAGCTCTTTCCATTGCTTTTTATAATATTTTGGATTAGCTTCATTTACAGCTTGGTAGAGCAGTCTCAAAAAGATCCAAAATAGCACGATAAGTCCGCCCACTCTTTGATAAAAGATATGAAACTTTTACTGTAGATATTCAGTAACTTTAAGGACCGATTCTGAACGTATAAATTGCCCGACTTGTTAACTAAAGAATTGCAAAGATATGTGATGAATTTTTGCCATTATTTTTTTAGAATAAATATTGAGTCCAATCATATTAAACTTCAACTATTTTTTGGTGAAAGTATGAATTATTTACAAACCTTTAAATTGAAATAAATTCAAGCTGTCGACCATAGAAGTGATATTTCGTAAGTCGTCCCTCATTTTCAGTGTGGTTTCGTTGTAGTTGACTAACATTCGTTGTGTTTCAGACCGCATTCTTTCACTCTCATTGTGCAGGACACCCAGTCTACCCCGAATCTTCTCAAGCTCAGATACTAAATCCCTCACGGTCTTTTCTGTAATTCAATAAAACTTCAGTACACAAAGTTTTTCTAGTATATAATTTTAACAAATTGAGAAAGTATTCTGTAATTATCTATGAAATATATGGAGATAACGAAGAGTATTCGAGCTCAAAAGTCCATGAAACAATACAAAATATAGAATTTATTTTTTCAAGAAGTCCACAAAGCTCAAGTAAGTTATACTGCTACATGCTATCATAGATGGCATATATTTTTCTAAACGTCTAAATTAAATTTAAAAAAAGAATATAGTAATTTGGTTGAATAAAACTTAATATTTTGATTGAATACTGTTTGGCAAATTAATGAAATAAGACATCTCTGGAATTATTAGAATGAGACGTCTGTATTTTAATCTCATGTTTAAAAGACCAAAAGACCGGATTATCATGTATATCATACATGTACAACTTTTCTTTACATTTACAGTTAACTTTAGATCTGCATCTCAGTTTGCTGTTAAGAATGCTTAGGTGGCAAAAGAAGTTTTTGTGTTGTTATATATGTGCTACGGGTGAAGGCATGCATACTTGAGACAAAAACAACAACAAAAGATAATTTGAGAGAGTTTCTTATAAAAACAGCTTAAATAAAATTACCGATAACTAGGAAACATGTCAACTAATAGTACAATTGTTCTAAGTAAGAACTTAGCTACAATGATTGAATGAACGTTAAAATAATTACATCAAACATGGGTTGTCTTCGTAAGGAATCTAGTGACAATCTTATCAATGACATAATTATTATAGGTTCTGCCAATTTATTTGGTAATCTTATTAATGGAAAGCTAGGTTCAGTCTTTCTCTTCAAATTTTTGGTTAAAGCACTAATTATATCTGATGTTAGTTTTCAATGAAAATACCTAGCGTTTTTATCTATCACAAACTGAGCAATTAATATGAGAACGAGTTTCAAGTAGTGTCAAATTTGTAAACCTTTAAAAACAATCAAACAATATATTTTTGCTTTGTATTCTCAAAGTTGAATTTGATATTTTATAATCATCATCATGATCAACAGAAATAAAAAAAAATCGGGTGACCTTCAGTCCAAGCATTCATAATTTAGTTCACGAAGCAGTGAAATGGACAAATTCTACATTTATTGTGCCACATATTGTTTGGAACAACCAGGAACAATCCTGGCCCCGGGATTATGAAACAGACTTAGACTTAAGTCAACATTTCAATTATCTATAAAATCTTTAAAACTTGTTAAAGGAAACTAATAATTTGCATACAACAGCAGATTGATGATACAAAATCGGAAGGCATTTTCATTTTGGGCTGCTTGACCTCTAAAAAAATTAAGCATCTAAGGCATTTTTTGACTTAAGATGCTTCATGATCCCGGGGCCTGAACAAGTGCATGTTTCTTAAGGTCAAGATCTAGCAAACGACGTTTGACTGTGTTTTGGTGCTAGATCAATTATGACGTCATAATTGATCTAAGCTTAAATTGTCCCGTAATTGTCCTGTAAGTATGTAGAAAATGAAGCATTTTCATGACATTCAATTTGAAATCACGTCAAAAGTAACCTCGATATTTATATTCATTTTGATATCATTCTGAAGTAGAGTTTAAGAAGAAACGAAAAATCGTTCTCAAAGAGGTGGTAGGCAATATTTATACATTTCTTTATATGGAAAGAAAAAAATCTCAAAAATCTTCAAAATTTATACCTGACTTTCTTCATTTTTTATTTAAAATTACATTTGAAAACTTTTTTTGTCTATTTATTTAAAAAATTATGTCCCGAAATACCTAATTGACCAAGATATATTAAGCATCATATAAGGATCATTAAAAGAATCATAAAGAATAAAATCTGAAAATTTGCTGGCACATTTCACTTACTAAATCTTGACCTTAAGTACATTGTTGTATATAATGATTATGATATACATGTAGACAACTTTACATACCTTGGATGCCGTACTTAGAATTGATTTTGTCAGTATAATTATGGAGAAGTCCCACAGAATTATTAACGTTAAGTAAGTCTTTCTTTATGTTTACTATTCTTTCAGATGTGTCATCTTGATTAGATTTCATGTTCTGTTCGAATTTTTTAAACATCGTTTTATATTCAAGCTGTGCCTTCGCTATCCTTTCAGATGTGTCCTTATGGTCAAATTTCATCTTCTGTTCTATTTCACTAAAAAAAATTTCATATTCACGCTTGTAGTTTATCATCCTTTCCGATGTGTCGTTTTGGTTAATTTTCATCTTCTGTTTTAATTCACTCAACATTTTGTCATGCTCATTCTGCTCATTAATTATGATTTCAGATTTATTGTTATGGTCCTGTTTCATCTGTGCTATTTCATTCAACATTTTATTATCTTCATGCCGAAGGTCATCAGTACTTTTTCTTATTTCTGCTGTGTTGGTTTTCATGGATGCCATTTCATTTTTCACGTTTATCATATCGTTGACCAATGAATACACTTGTTTCAGCAATGAAAGCCTTATCACCGTTTCTTGGTTTATCTGGTTCTGTAGATTGTTAATGACAATTTCGCTTTTTACACTAATGCCATCTTCTGCCTTCTTTTCTGTCAGTAGGGAATGGGAATCTACTATGGCAAATATTATCCACAGAAATGTAAATTGTGAAAACATCATTTTCAAAGCGCTGTACTAAATGTTAACAACTGAATTCTTTAAACGATGAAAAGAAACCCTTCTAGGCCCAGGAGCAAAATGAAATAATCGGTACAAGTGGAAGATATTATATTTTTAAGACACAAAGAGCGGTATATACTATAAACGGGATTTCCTACACTTTTCAAAGGATAATTTTGAAGAGGTTATCAAAGCAACTTAGACGAATAAAACACTTTGCTTCTTAAGTACTTTTATGTTATCTTTAAAACTCAGGCCAACGTAAGCAAAATTTAACGACCTTGAATCTAAAGTGCTCTATTATTTACAGCAGTTACACCTGTACATAACTTTTCTAGGATCTCATAATATTTTTTATGCCTTAAAACAGTAAGAAGTATTTTTGTCGAGACTTTAATTTGACTTTTAACTTTGTAAAAAGAATACCTGATGTTCACCACAAGCTAGTATTTATGAACCATATTTAGTTTAGTTTCAGATTCCTTAAGTTAGTGTTTCTGTACACTTTCAAACCATAAAATTTTAGTCCGAAAAAATTTTTAGAGTAGTATAATATGTACATCAGCTTTTCAAAAAAAAAAAAAGAATAAATTACCTTTATTTGTTACTCTAGAATTTGAACTTTTAGTTGACCACTACATATTACCTACTGCATGTAGTGTCGAGTTTTCCTTTTATGTTGAAAATACACGTTTTATGTTTGAAATACATATTAATGTTTGAATTACCAATCTGAGTGAGAAGTAATCAGTTACTTGCACATCAAAAATTAAGGTTTTTTTTGAAAAAGAAATAAACATGTACCATCAGAATTTAATTGCTCAACATTACTTTATTTTTATCATTTCAACTGCGTTTCCTTTCATCAAATTCATGAGGTATCTAAAAATAAATTGCTAGGGCGTGTATTGAGAGTGTGAAGTATTGCTAAAGATTTCTCATTAGGAAAAAAAAAAGTTAAATTCAATTTAAAAGATGCTGTAAAACGTGTTTTACAACAAGTAGTCTGAGAGTATTGAATTGGCAGTGCTAGTTCCCTAGTAGTAAGTATAAAATAAAAATAAATAAATAAATTTTAAAAAAAGCCGTGTCCCCCCAAAAAATCTGATTACAATAGCGGAACTAAATTCGAACTTGATCTGTACTCATCAACATACATGCACATTCACCAAAATATGCACAATATCTGCAGATCTTTAAAAATTAAAAGTGCGAAAAACCACTTGGAAAGACTGGCAGACTTTCAGAGGGACAGACGGACAGACGCAGAGGAAACCTTTAGTCCCCTCTGTTTTCACTATTAGGGGACGAATAAAAAAAATATTCAATACAATGTGTAATAGTTACGATCTAGGAGACGTTGTGAAGTTGTTCCCTCTGTTTACTATGGAATCCGGATAGGGCCACGCAGTTCACTATCGCATCATCGCACCATCAAGGTATGAGTCGATGATGCGATGACGCGATAATGCGATGACGATGGAGCGATGAAGCGATAACGATGAAGCGATGGTGCGATAACGCCATGACGATGACGCGATGGCGCGATACTGCGATGACGATGAAGCGATGGTGCGATGGAGCGATAAAGCGATGACGCGATGGCACGATAGCGATGGTGCGATGCTGCAACAGCGATGATGCGATGGCGCGACAGTGGTGATGCGATGCTATATCGTGCCATCGTTATTGCTTTATCGCGCTATCGACATCGTGTCATCGCACCATCGCTCTATCGACTATGATAGGATGGCATATTCAGCAGGTACTTAATTCGAGCAAAGATTTGATTGCCCAGTGATAATTAAGTGACTTTAATTTTGCATTTGGTAGTCATATTTTAAATAACAAACACGAAGTACCAAGAGGAGAGAGGAAGGAAGACTTTTGTTTTGTATTTATTTTGTATTTTAGTATTGTATACTAGTATATAGGTCCCTGATTTCACGATGCAAGAAATAAATTTAAATTTTGTATAAGCATTTACTTGTTTTAAAAGTTAATGAAAGCATTCACGATGGGGTTAATTTTTGGAAAAAAATGAATCGCAAACATAGTGAAAGTAAAAACATCGTAATTATTTCCCACGTAATTATTACCCAATCTACAGTATTAATTCCCCCCGTTTAGAAACCAAAATCTAGATCACGCAGATTTCGATTTCTTTTACATCATTCACAACATTAGTGTATTGTTAACTTTATCTTGATTATCAAACTATATTTTAACAATCTTCTAACTTGTTATATGTCTGGCAATAAAGACATGGTTAATATTTTTATGCCAAGTGAAATTTATTCAACCAGTAAGATCTATTTCCGATATGTATTCTGTTCATACTTTCACAACCTGACGCCATTTTTCTTCTCAATGGCGCATGCGCAAAAGAGTCGATAGCACGATAGTGCGACAATACGATGACGATAGTGCGATAGAGCACTGATGATGACACGATAGAGCATCGCTTCATCGTTATTGCGTTATCGTATCATCGCTATCGCACCATCGCAGCATCGCTATCGTGCCATCGCGTCATCGCATTATCGCTCCATCGCACCATCGCTTCATCGTCATCGCAATATCGCACCATCGTGTCATCGTTATCGCGCTATCGCATCATCGCTTCATCGTTATCGCGTCATCGCTCCATCGTCATCGCATTATCGCGTCATCGCACCATCGACTCAAACCTCGATGGTGCAATGATGCGATAGTGAACTGAGTGGCCCTATCCGGATTCCATAGTTTACACTGTTAGGGGACAAATTAAAAAATATTCAATCGATGTGTAATAGTTACGATCTAGGAGAAGTTGTAAATAAATATGTGCATCCCAAAATGAAGCAGATGGATGGAAGAACGAACAGAAAGAAGAATGGGCGGACATCCCTATCAGAATACATTTACCCTTCCACTTTTCTAGCTGGGGTATAAGAATAAGCAACACATGTAATTTTCGTTCCACCTGTTTTAAATGTATAGTGTATGTCTTATAGGCTATGTGAGAAGGTGCATATTTTGAAAAATATAATTCTTTTCAGAAATACCCATAACCTGAAAAATACAAAGAATATCTTAATTGCAGATACCACATTGTTAAAATAGAAAAAAGGTTCACGTAAAATTGTGAATGTAAAATAAAAATGAATTGTATTTCTTTTATTGTTTGGAACTTCATTTTGATTGGACAACTAACATAACAATACCTTTTAGTAGGAGTCATATAATGATCGGAATGTCTCTCTGTCTGTCTGCTGTCTGTCTGTACGTCTGTAACGCTTTGGGCTTCCCATCTCCGCAACTCCTCCCGCACATTTTTGCGGGTCCTCCTATACCACCTAATAAAATTTAATGAGACTTTCACACAGAGTGTTTGTTACATAATGCCATTGGGCATCTCCTATTTTATATTTTATCGGACACATCTTTCGGGTTTCTCAAAGGGAAGCATTTAACTGCCATTCTTTCTCTTATAATAAAGGGTGTCCATCGCTACTCCTTCTATATCACTGAATAAATATTAATTATACTTTCACAGATTCTTTATTTCATAATGCCAATGTGCAGCTATTATTTACTTTTTTCATCTGACACTTATTTTGTGTCTCCCAGAGCAAAACATCAACCTTACCATTATAACCATATGGTGGGCGGGGTGTATCATTTAGTGAGCTCAGTATCCACAGTACCTCTAGTTCATATTTAGTTTAATTGTAAAAAATATAAAATCTTAACATATGTCTACCAATCCTTACACGGATTAGCTCCATCGTATATCAAAGATCTTATAATTTTATGGCTATACAAATTTTATAATAATAATAATAACTAGAAAGTCTGCTATTGCAAGCAATAGCATATGTCGCCCCGTACTGGACAAGACTTTCATTTTTATCACTAAAACGAAAGTCTACTAGCTAAGTTTGATCAACCATCGAGTTGTATCAGTCCTTTCCATTGGAAACGGAAGACCTTAATTGGGTACATCCCACTAATTATTTTTAGAATCGGTAGGAGAAGAAAGTAGTGCAGGAAAATTACAAGTTCCTAATTTTGCAGACTTGCATAAAAGAATGTACTGAACTGAGCCTCATACTTGTTAATTGGCAGTATCTTTCCTTTCATAAAAGCTTGGGAAATGTAATTACTGAAGAAGATCAGCAGAATTATTTTGTGCATTGTAACGCCAGTGAGAACTCTGAAATTTCCCGTTTTCACTTTCATTTTAGAGGTTCTGCCGAAAAACGAATCTGACAAGCCACCATCAATTCGAGCATTTCTGCATTGCAGAGAGCTGATGTTTGTTATGAAATGATAAATCATGTGTAAACTTTCTCAGTTTAGCGGAATCATGAACATTTTCGGCGAGATGAATGTTTTGTATACAGTGGTGATCAAGGCTTTGCGAACCTGCAGGAGCGGATCAAAGGATTTATGAATGAATAAAAACTATGGAAATGACGTACCAATTTTTTAATTTATACTTGCACTATCTAATGAAATGAATAATATACAATTAATAAATATACAAGAAAACGCGAAATGATAATAAATGCAGCTGACAATCGTAAATTTTTTTTTGTATAGATAAAATAAAATATTTATAAATTCAAGAGACAAAACAGAAGGAGAATGAATGATGGCAAAATATCACATGACGGAAACTGAGTTTTATGAATGAAGATTTTAAAACGCTACTTGTAAGTTGTATATGTTATATCTGTATATTCTACCTGACTGTGTGCTTCAAAAGGGGGGGGGGGTCGTCTTGAACATAGTACATAGCCATAACGTTTGAACGGTAAGTGCTAGGGCTTTTGTATTTCAAATATGTAATCCTTGTGAAAAGAACTTTTATTGGATACGACGAACTTTGACCCTTTGACCTAGACCTTGGAGAACACATGTGTACATCTGAATCTTTTTTTCTGTTTCGTTTCTATGGCAACTGTGAGCGACTCATTACAATTATTTTAAAAGTAGAAATCACTTTGACACATTGCAAGGAATAAACATTGAAAGTTTCAAAACGATTGCCTGCGTAGTTATTGAGAAAATCGAAATTAAAGAATTTTAAATTTCACCTGGT